CAGCAGGAGGCAAAGTTCTCCTTGTACAGCCTTATTTCCAAAATGGAAACTCACCAGCACCGTTCAAAAGAGAACAAACATATACCTGTATAAGAAATCTTCTCCTGGGTAGGTGAAGGGCCAAGCTTTCACTCTGTGAATTCAAAAAGCCTCTCCATGCACTGAGGTGCCCTCTGCCCTTTCCACCACTCTGCTTTCACCACCAGACCAAGCCAGAGCAAACAGTATGCACCCAGGCACCAAGGCCTTCAGACAAACCAAATCATCTCCAACAAGCAGCCAGATTATCCTAGCCAGTCCCAGCAACTGCCAAGGGGGGAAGGAGGGAAAAGGCTTCGAGGTCAGACTCCCATAGGAGTCAGCACTCTGCTCCTTTGTACACTGTCAGAGCAGCTGCTGGAGTTATAGCTGCAGTGCTATAGCTATGAGGTCTCACACCAGTGGAGCGTCTGGGAATCTGAGCTGAATGATGGTAATTGCTCCAGCTCAAGTCTAACTATCCAGGCAGAACACCAAAGCTTGAAACAAGCACTGGCAGCACCAAAAGGGTTTCCCTTGTCAGCAAAGACAAAATATGCATCTGCCCAGCTCACACAGGCTCCAGGAACACTGGAGCTCCCATGCATCAGGAACAAGGCTCAAGCAGAGGCCACCTCCCTTACCATAATGTTTGTCCTCCTTGTATGAGGGAGAGTAGCCAGGTTCACAGCGTCGCTCACACCTGGGGGTGTCCCCCCCTTCACCCGTGCATGGTGGCCGGGAGCCATTGACATGGTGCTCACAGGGAGGGATGGAGTAGGGACGGCAGCCTGTTGAGAGCAGAGGTGTGAAGTGCCTGTCCCCAAGCCCACCCTGACACACACCATCCCCAACAGCCGTGCCAGAGCAGTGACCAGATCATGTTGGCGATGGGTTTCTCTTCAAACCCAGTTTCCATCAGCTCAGTCTTGACAACGCCAAGGAAGAAATAGAAACAAACAGCTTACGGCCACACTGTGAGGAGTTTCCAATCTCAGAAGGTGCTTTTTGAGGGAGAAACATGGCAGAAACACTCCTTCCCTCATCCACAGTTCACTAAATTGGGCCAAAAGTCCACAAAAATTCACAGGCTGATTCAGGCCTGCTGTGGCTGCTCCTACTGAAAGGAGCAGCCTTGTGCTGTTTGTAGGTTTGACTACTGTGCTCTATTCTGGATAGGTTCCCTGCAATTAGGCACTGCTTGGGGCCCCTTGTCCCAAAGGGTCATCAGAAAGAGCCATGGCTGCTCCTGTCCCCGTGAGGATGCAGACCCGCACTCTGAAGAAGGGCACAAAAGGTACAGCTGACTAACCACACAGAGATGGTTACCATCCTTTCATGATGGTTCCTGCCAGGACTTACCCACATGGGAGTCATAGAGACCACCAGACACAAGGCCCCTCTCTGTCCAGTACCTCCATGCACCAGAGGGATAGCCACCATTGCACCTGCAGAAAGGGACAGCTGTCTCAGCTCAAGCCTGCTCAGAGCCTTTCCCTTTTGAGGGAAGCTTTCTCCAGGCAAGTCCTTCAAGTCCATCTCCCCCCTCTCCAGGATTTCTAGGCCTTGACACAGCAAGGGCTGGATCTCAGGGGAGAAAGCAGCTAAGAGCATCCATGCCTCCAAATCCCAAAGTAGTGGTGCCTCCTTTTCTAAGAGTCTCCTCACCAGGTCCTTGTTCAGCCTGTGCCCCCAGGAATAGCAGAAACCCAAAGACAACCTGGAGCCCTGATTCCCAGTACTGCTCCCTGCTGGGAGAACACTTGCACCTGAAGATCAAGATTTGGGGCTACTAGAAGATCCCTCCTTTCACTTAGGCAACCACCAACTGTGAGCCTAGGAGAATGAGAGAGCATCTCTTTGTACTTGCTCTCTCTCAACCAGCCATCATTATCCAACCACTGCTAGAGGCAGGATGCGGCCCAGCTGGACCTGCAGTCCGTAGATGGGAACATATAAAGGCGACTCTAATTCCAGCACCTACAGCTTTAGCCACCTGCTGAGCTTCCTGCCAATTAGGGAGTTAGAGGCCCAGGGCTAGGAAGACGGGGCTGAAACAGTACCAACATTTTTGGTTTGTGTCCTCTCACCTCCCACTCCCCTTTTAAGGGCACAAACATCAGTAGTAACTCACCCCATGCCACATTCAAAGCCACAACACGACAGCAAGTCCTCTGCCGAGACCTCCACGTTCACCTTGGCATTCGTGTGAACACAGATTCTGTCCGAAATGGCTTCTACAGCCCCAAATGCCTGTGGACAGTCCCAAAAACAAGCAGAGACCATTACATGCTGGTCATGGGAAAGACAAAAATACACCTCAGGTTCATGGTCCACAGGGGCTCAATGGCAGGAGGGGAAATAAGTGCAGAGTCTAGCCAGGAGAAATCCACACGCAATAAGCTTGGACACTGCACCCACCCCCTACCACTCACACCCCAAGGCTTTGAAGGTCACTGCTGGACTAGAACAGACACTCTGTCCTGCACAGAAGGGTGCCACATTGAAGCAGTTAGATCCAAGCCTTGGTGGACAACAGGATGAGAAACTCAGACCTGCAAGGAAACTCATACAGCAGCAGAACCAATGGCTGCTATCTCCTTGCACTGGAGGAAGTCTCACTTCCTCCACAGACACTGTGAGGAAGGGAAATGCAGCCTGCAATCTATGCAGTGCAGTAGCAAACTCAGCAGCTTACTTTTTCTGGCAAGTGTGCTCTGTACCAAAGCAGCCATAACCATGCAGCAGCAGCAGCCGCCAAAGTGATCTTACCCAGCAAGAGCCACAGGAGCCCTGATCTCTTATCTCATTGACGGTTGGGCAGTTGGGCCACTGCTTCCGTGAGTCAAAGTTATCTGGCAAGTCCATATCTGCAGCAAAATCTACCCTGTAAGTGAGAAGAGATGAGGCTTACATCAGGGTAACAGGACTGGGTGCAGAGGCCTCTCCAACCTCCTCTGAAGAGGACCTGGAAGACAAGTGAATCTGGGCAGCCAGAACACTTATTTGCTTACTAAAGGAAAATAAATATTTCTGAAGTCCTCAGGCCAGGTCAACAACTCTCCAGTGTGTTCTAGTTCAAGGATTAGGAGTTAGAGGATTGCTCCAACAACCTGCAGGATACAGGGCAGAAGTTCCCCCTGACACATGCTCCCATGCTCAACCCTGTGCAAGATGCACACTAAGAACCAAGGAGCAAGCTGTGGAAACTACACCCCCAAGCAGCTGCTATTTGGGTGTTACGACATAAGAGACAGGATCAAGCCTCTCTGCAGGCTCTGAGGCTCACTCTTGGCCTCTCTGTCCTGCCGTCAGGCTGCTGGCTCCCACAACAGGGGAAGAGAACCCTTTCAGAAACTGTCCCCCTTTGGGTAGGCTCTGACCTCAGGCAGCTTTTTGAAGCCCTGAACTCTTCTGTGGGTGGGATTTACCTTGTTTGCTCTCTGGCTCACCCTAGGTATCAGCTCTCTACATGGTCAGCTCTGGCAGCTTGCAGGAACAAGCATATTGTACCCTCTTCACACCGGCTACCCTCTTCACACCCTCTTCTTGCAAATCAAGCATCCAGTCCCAGAGCACCCCATGCAGAAGCATGCAGGGGGACCCAGCTCAGAGCCTGTTGGGAAAGGGCCCTCACCCACTGCAGACTTGCACAGGAGCATCCACACAAGCTTTTGCAGGGCCATCATCTTCCTTTCTCCGATTACTCACCTGATGGGGAGCTTGGGCCCACCCAGGAATGTGCCACAGAGCTTCTTCACATAACTCATGTCAGTGTTGTGGAAGTTGTGCCCTGCCTGGGAAGAGACAGAGTGACTGAACATGACTCTACAGCCACTACGTGCAGTCCGCAGCCACAGCATGACTAGCCTGGGGCTCCAGATCTTCCTCGAACCCAACCTGTATCTGATACTTGCTTTTAAAACCCAGAGGCCAAGAGCCAAGCTGCTTACGGTGACAGGACAACACAGCCCCTTCCAGGAACAGGGCACTGTGGCCAGTAAGCTCAGGTCCAACTCTAAGCTTTGGCCACAGCAGCATGGCAAAGCCAGGTTTGGCCAGGTTGGCAATACACTTCTACACTTGCTGTTTGTTTCCACTGCCCTGCAGAGTTCCCTCTCCTCTCAGCATTACTCCTAGTCTATGAATTCATCAGTGCTCTGCTCTAAGGAGGAGGTGCACAATCATTGTCACTGCAGGAATCCCTGATGGCATCAACTCATTGGAGAGGCCAGCTGGGACCCAAGGCTGGTTGGAGGCAAGCACTGTGATGAGACTCCCAAATCACAGCTGTTGAGTCCTATGGAGAGGAGGTCCCACAATCTGTCCAAAAAATCCCCTGCACTCACCTTCCAGGTGGTGTTGAGCTTGTTTATGTGGTTGACCAAGTCACTGGAGAGGGGAGGGTAGTGAGGAATGCTACGGGCATTGGCAAAAGCCACCAGGACACACAGGACAGACACAGACTTCCACATCTCGGCTTCAGAACAGGTTCCTTCACCTGCAACACAATTTGGTTATCATTTGCCTGAACACCAGCAGGAAACCATCCCAACCTGAGGTCAGACTGCTCTGCTGCAAGGAGGATCTGGCAGGGCTTGGCAGAAGGACTGCTAGCAGCTGTTTACCAGCAACACACAGGAGGATAAAACACATGCCTGCACAAAATCCCTCCCAATCCTGATTTACCTAGAAGGTCAGGAGCAATGCAAGAGTGCAGCTAATAACTCCCTTCCTGCAGCCCAGAAGAAGTCAGACAGGGCAATGCTGTTTGGTCAACTGCTGCAGGATTAACAGCAGCAGGAAACTTGCTTTTGAAGCAGGTCCAAGGGTTTGTGTTTGGAGGGTCTCACAAGCTGTTTACTTCCAAGAAGCAGAAGAGCTAAGGACTAAGAGGGATTAAATGATCTACCCCACATCAGATCCCAGCAGAGCTGTAGCCCCCGTGTACTTGCTAGCCCACTATCCTAACACAGCACTCTTCCCTTTGAGGGCCTCCCTCCCACAGCTCCCCTCCAAATCACATTTCTGGGCTCTACAGCCTCATTTGGCCAGTCTATCACCCTCAGGACCCTAAACACAGTCACATCCCCTGAGGGAAGGGATTCCTGCCCACAGAGAGGAGGCCTAAGCCCTATAGGAACAGTCCATCACTACAGCCTATACTCCCCTCCCGTGTGGGACTTTTCCACAACGGAGGTTTGACACTGCATCCCTTGGCACAGGGCACCAGGAAAGTTCCAGGCTGAGGAAGAGAGTCACAGCAGGGGGAAATCCAAGAGCACAGCAAGAGTCAGCCACAGGCCTCCTGCCTCCCACATGGAAGCACAACCACAACATAGGTACAGGTTCAGTTTTGCCACCTGTGTACTCCTCAGCTCAATCAAATCCTTTAAGCAACTTGACCCTCAGTTTAAAGCTTGCTAGTGCCAAGAGGAGATGCTCCAGCCTCACCTCCACACCGCCTTGCACCACCTAGGCATCAGTTCAGCTCACTCATCCAGCAGAAAGCTAGTCTGCTGGACAATGGTTTGGAGGACAGGCAGTCACACCACCACTCCATTTCTTCCTGCCTAGTTTTAACCTAATTTAAACCACCCTGCTCCATTTTAACCCTTTTATACACCTACAGCCGAAGCAGCAACCCTTCACACTTCTCAGCACCTCTGCACCCAACTCAGATTGGTTGGACGGGATCAGACATCCAGCCGCGTTATGAGCCAATCAGCCTTTGCAAACATGCTGCGGTATCCTCCTCCACCCACAACCTCCTGGCTCACTTTAACAAAGCTCCATCAGCCCCAAGCTCCAAGCCTGACTAGCAACCCAAGACCTCAGATACTCAGCAAAGCCCCAAACAGCAGAGACACTTAGGCCCTAATTCCAACTCATCTCAGCGAGTTAAACATGTAATCATCTCTCAGAGGCTGCACTTAAGCCCTTCTGGGCTAATATGCCTAAGCAGCCAAATAACTACCAGCAGCAGCTGTGCAGTCTCATGGCAGCAAAGCTTTCTGAACAGCCAGGTTCAAGCTGACGACGGACAGAGGCACACACATCTCCACGCATGTTGCCTCCACCCACTCACAGCCAAGTTTAGCCTTCCCAGAGAAGAAAACCCAGCAGGACTGTCCTACTTTCTGCCAGCTACAAGCCTGGGCAGTTGCAGCTAACCATATAAAAGGGCTTTTATTTTTTCCCCTGCCACCATTCACTTTAATGTGGCCTCTTTGTGCTTTCAGCAGGACGCTCTGCTGGAAAGAAAGTCAAGTTTCAGAAATACACTGTCCCTCCTTCAAATCTCACTTCTTTGAAGAGGTTTTACATGTATTTGTGTGCTTAGAGGTTTCTCACAGACAACCAACTTGGTGGTACTGCCAGAGGACAGGTCTCCAAAGCCTCCAAACCTTCTCTTCTTGCCATGTTTTCCTGCTTAGCCAGCAAAAAGGTTACACTCAGAAAGAAAATGCACGTTTCCAATGCTAACATGGTTTTTGACTACTGACCCTTAAACACAACTATAGAAAGCCTACAGGCGACCATCTTGGGCTGAAGTGGTGCAAAGCAACTTCCTCAGGATCCCTGCCAGCTCCTTGGGCTAAGCCACGTCACACAGGCTTTGCTGCATGGAAAACAGGTCCACGGTGTGTTATTAGCGCTGCTGGCAAGTCCCCAGAAGCCAGTTAGTGAAGGGAGAGGGTCTACCATAACTTTATTGGCCCCCACTGGGAAGAGGGCTCCTCATTTCTGTTACATGGGTCTAAAAAAAGGCCTTGCCTGCTCTGCTGGAAAGTCACAACATCCAAAATGACCAAAACACATGCTGGAAAGCCACAGGCTTATCTTCCTATATCTACACGCAGCCAGAACAAACTGAACTAGCAACAGCTGAGCTGGGTCCAGAGCACTTAAACCCCCACCCAACACACACTCCTTTCTGCCCTCCCCAGGCTTTAGGGGCCTGGTACATATTTAACCAGAGTTTAGTCAAATCCCTCTGCATTCACAAGATGTTCCCTCACCACCCCATACCACGACCATTATAACACCACAGGGCATCCATTCCCTCAGCAAGGTCACTCAGATGGTGCAACAACCTGGCCACATTCAGGGGAAGGTGTCAGGCCACATCTCCCTGCAAGGCTCCTGGTGAGCAACCAGTAGAGACAAACTTCCACTACCACCAGCATACTGAGCATAGCTCAGCTCTGAGACTAAAAACTTCCTCTACAGTCTTTAAAACCCTCTACCTTCCAGCTGTAAAGTTTCTATCTTCCGTAGCACAGAAAGGAGGCACTTTTGAAGCCAGGATCCATTTGATACAGGTTTGTTTTCATTCGGACACTTGTGGATTTGATGACATGCCAAAAACCTATTCTGCAAAGCCTCCTGCACCTATAAGGCTGCTTGCCCAGAGCTCCTGACAGACAGCCTCAGGAGAGCTCACATCCTCAGGTTACAAGATCACAGCCACTGTCAACTGGGAGCTCCAGTCAACCCGAGACTGAGCTGAAAAGAGATACCCTCTTTGCAATGCAATCCCCCCTCTGACAGACACCTACATTTTAAGCAGGCTGCATGCTTGCTGCATTGCATTTGCCCCACAGAGTGGCTCACAGCCAGCAAACCCAGCAGGAGAAAGCAGCTTCATCTCCCAGTGCAACTCATTAGCTGGGAGCTGGTCAGTCATTTGAATAGAAAGTCTCTTGCCAAATCTCCTGTGGGCTCAGTGCCAGAAGTTTTGGGGGGCTCCAACTCAAAGCAAGAATCAGTTGTCAGGTTACTGCTGGATTACATGGACTATCCCAAGACTTGGGTGGAGAAGGAAGGGGAAACCCTTTGATCTCATGTGATTTGTCCCTCTATTATGCCACAGCTAAAGCAAGTACCCTGTGTATAACAAATCTATATATAGAGCAAGAGCAAGCACAGGACTTGCGGGACCAATTTCTGCAGACGACTGCAAGATATTGAGTCACGTGCACCTGACAAGTCAGAGGCAGTCATCAGGCAGCTTAAAGGCATTTGAGAGGCAAAGCAGAAGTAAAAGCAAGGCCGCTAGCTTCTGTGATCATTCCCTTTCCC